ACTCCGGGCAGAAAGGAGATCCTCAGGATGATGGATTCACAGAAACCCGTGTTTCTAAGCAGATATGTGGTTGTGCTTGTGTTACTAAGAGTCTGTCCAAGATGTTGCTTCATTCCTAGATAGAAGTTGCATTAGGGAAGCCTTAAAATTGTGACTGGGGCCAGATCTGTATGGAGTGGGTTAGGTGCAATCTTTAGGCAGCACACAGAGAAAAGCAAGTGGGGAGGGGGTTTGCCAATGGGCAAGCAGTGCAGAGTGTAAAAGCACACTTTGGGCTGGAGATTCATTTCACAGTGGAAGTATCAATGATAATGGGAATGTGGTGGAAGCAGCAGGGAAATTCTTAAAAGTGGGAAATTCCCTCTACTTGACTGGCATCGCTTGTACTATGTCAAGTTTTCGTGCAAAGCACCTGCGTTTCCAAGATAGGTTCATGATAATGGCGGTGACTTGTGCCTCAGGGAACCTTTGGGCACTTTTACACGTGCTCCAGGGGTGGTGGTGGGGGGACGGGGACGGGGATGGCCCTTTAGAGTGGCTCTGAGAGATGCTTTAATCAAAGCGCCACAGCATCTCATGTATCAGCATTCCCATGCTTCAAAATGGCGGCGGGGCACTTGTACAAAAGCTCATTTGACAGTAGTTAAAGTACCCTTGCTGCCATTTTGAAGTGTGGAGTCACTGATATACGAGATGCAAGAAGCTGCTGACGTGCAGTAATTATCACACTCCAGCAAACTCGATTAACTGAGTCTGTTCCAACGTGCTGTAAATCAAGCATGTCATAGCAGCATCCGCACCCATGTATAGGCACCCTTAGTGTGACCTTTGAGGAGTCACCAAGAGCCTGATCATTATTTACACTAGGGGTCCTTTATTACCCAGAGCCAGACAGAGGGATCTTACTGTAAATGTGAGTCTGGACTTTAATTGCCTAGTGCCTCACACCTCTGTTTGTAAAATGAGGGCGGTGATAATAATCCTTCGTATCTCCCACTCTTTGCTATCTCTTCCCTTTAGGTCATTATCATCTCAGGGCAGAGATTGTCACCGCATGTGGGTTGGAGTCTAATCTCAGTTGGGGCTCTCATACAATAGCCATGTCAGCTGCTGGTATCTCAATGAGGCTTTGGATATAGAAACACTTTATTTTAATGAATTTATGTAAAGAATGAACCGTCTTGCTACTGCCCATGCAAGGGTCTGGGCCTAACTTTGCATGACATAGTAAGTCCTCCTGGAAATGCAGACTGTCTAGGAAGTGTGGCATTCTAGGAAACACTGGGGTGAGGAAGCTGGCACAAGGCAGTTCCTGGTGCCACACTTCCTGGAGGCTCTGCATTACCAGGATTCACTCTGTCACACGATCAGCCATGACCCTGGAAAAATCTTTTTTTTCTATGCTCTGCCTTACAAAAACAAGGTGCATGTTTCATTTGGGGGGCGCATTGTATGTGAGAAATATGGTAACAGCAATTCTTGCAGGGTTGATTTCAGTGCAATGAGAGTTTCCTACTTATCCTTGATGCCAGCCCCAGCACTCCACCCACCACGCTCTCTCCCAAATCTTTCCGTGTCTTCTTGTACGTAGCTATTGCTAACTCAGCCCCTGCCAAAAACCTCTTTCTAGCCACATTCACTTTCTAACTCAGACCCTGCCAAAAACCTCTTTCTAGCCACATTCAGGCGGTACTACAGCGGTGGCCAACCTGCAGCTCCAGAGCCACATGCGGCTCTTCAGAAGTTAATATGCATCTCCTTGAATCTTTGCACAAGCACACGGTGATGAGCTTCCAAATGGCACACACTGTGTGCTTGTGCAAAGATTGAAGAAGGAGCATATTAACTTCTGAAGAGCCGCATGTGGCTCCGGAGCCGCAGGCTGGCTGCCCCTGCTCTAGGATCTTACCAATATGTCAGGGGAGGGGCTGTGTGTTAAGTTATCTTAACTAAATCCAGAGTAACTTAACAATAAGGATGCATCCATGCCTCACTGGATGATTCTAGGGCAATTTGAGGGCTGCCCGTTTTCTCTCTGTTCCCTTTTCTGTACACTTATGATTCGCATTTGTTGCACCATGTCAAATTAAGACAGTCAGGCCTGCTGGGCCCAAATGGCACAGTTGCTAGTTTTATACGGTGTTTAGCACATTTTGGAGGCTGATAAATAAACAGTAATGATAAATGAAAGAAAACACAGTTTTAATACCAACTGTATAATTAGTTATGCAGCAGGTAGGAATTAGTATGCAGATTGCAGTGGTGCTGGAGGAGCCTTGAACATCTACTTTCTTTTTGCTTCTATGGGCCTCGTTACACATTACTTTTAGACAGCTCCTGGAGCTCTTAGCCCCTGGATTGTCCACACATTAACACCTGAAGCTAGTTTTAAGCACACTTCAGGCAGAATACAGTTATGCCACTCCAGGGCAGGTTTATCTCTGATCTGTGTTACCCAGCTCGTGCTCTATTAATGTGTAGCCACTCCCCACAGATAAGCCACCCAAGTTGCAGTCCTCCAGCATCCCAGGATGCAGTGTCCCCTCCCCCATTTCCATGTAGATAAAGTTCTCATCCCCTGACCTCTACTGCCCGGGGTGCAGTTCTGTGACCTTCCCACCTCCAGGGGTGCAACCCCATGCAAACAGCCTGCAGAGCATATGCCAGCTAGCCAGGCTGCAGGGCATGGACCGGTCCAGGAGTGGGGTTGGGGGTGAGGGAGAACAAATTGGGGGGCCAGACTGGGTCCCCATGACCTGGTGCTTCCTTCCTGGGGCAGGGGCAGTAGCTCCTCCAAAAATGCCTTCCCTCACTGCTCCCACCTCCCAGCCACCCCAGGAAGCACGACCAGCACACCCCATACCCCAATCCCAAACCCCAATTTATTAAAAATGAGACCTTCATTAATTGACTTCCTCTTTATTGCTTTTTAAATTCTTTTCTTCCTTCTTTTTATTTTACCTTTCAGTGGCTAACTTCCTCCACTTCCCCACCCCCATTTCCTCTCCACTTCCCATTTTATTATCCACCCCCATCCCATTAACTCTTCACCTCCCGACTTCAGTTTCCTCCTCCCCACAACCCACCTCTTACACTCCCCCTACCTGGAGCAGAGATAGACCTGTTCTGGCTCCCCAGCTCTCTCGTGGCAAGTCACAGCTGTGCAGGTTGGGGACGGTCAGGGAAGGTTTTTAGCCTTAAGGTGCAACTGCTCCAGAATCAAGCTAGCACTATACCAATCAACATTTTACCAGCTTTGAAGTGCAACTTTAGCAAGGCCATATGTTCTCTAGGCGTGTATACCTCTACTAGACATGCCTTGAACTCATGTCAGCCATTCCTGTATTCTAATACACTTTCCCATTAACCTAGCTCCTTTCTTTCATATCCTCCATTTCTCTACTCATGACACGATTCTTTCATGAGGAATGCTCGATGGCTTTTCTATATATTTTTTCTCCAATCTAGTACACTTCGTTCATTTCTGCTGTGCAGCCAATGCCATCAGTTCTTACATTATCTCATTCTGTCTTCTTCCTAGCAGACTCATACAGGCAGTGTTATCTGGTTCCCATAAGGATCCCTTGGAACACACAACTTTTTTGGCAGGTGTGTCACCAGGTAAGCCCTGTACTTTTCTGAGTGTTACTCCAATCCCCTTTCCCTGCCCAATCTGTTGCTCTGCTTTCCGCTTCCTACCTTGTGCTCTCTACCTGATCTATTGATCTGCTTTCTTCTCCCTGCTCTGTGCTCCCTGCCCAATCTGTTGCTCTGCTTTCTGCTCTTTGCACCACCTGTCAATGTGTTCCCGGATCTCTCCCTGATCTGTCGTGTGCCAGACACAGAGGCTTCTCATGCCACTTATGCTACACGTGCCACAGATTGGCCACCCCTGCCTTGGAGCACTTCATTTTGTAGAGCTAAGCAGATGCACGCAGCATTAGAAGTATTCTTATTTATTGAATGTAAACTCTAGTCTTCCATGAGTTTGAAATAAGCCTAAAAGGCACTGTCTGTTTTTACCTGAATTGCTATCAGGTTCTGACATCTATTTTTGCACACATTATAGCAGCCACCATTAAAACATCTGGCCTTGATTCTCTTGCTTATCCAAACTGCTCATATTCAGTGCTATTCTAAGCTGTGCCCAGCCCCCACAGCCATTTTAGCAGCAGGGATCATTGGGGAAAGCAGCTAGAATGGCTGTTCAAGGCTACATTAATTAAACTAATAAAAGGAATAGATAGAAAAAAATATAGATGAGAAAATATGAATGCATGTTTAAAAATATAATATGCAGATTAACAATAGTGAGGAATTATTGATTTGTCTGTAACCAGTACCAATCTTAACCACCTGCGGCTGCATCAAGCCCAAGCACAAGTTACATCAGGCACCTATACATAAACAGCAAGGCTACTCTGATGCGCTATAATTCCAGTGTGTCAGAGCAAGCTCGATTAATTCGGTTTGCTAGAGTGTGGTAATAACCACGTTTCAGCAGACTCCAGCATCTCATGTATCAGCGTCCCTGCAGTGAAAAATGGTGGCGGCAGAGCTTGAACTAAAGCTCACTGAACTTTATTTAAAGCAACCCTGCTGCGATTTCTAAGCCCAGGGACACTGATGCATGAGACGCTCCAGGCACTTTAATTAAAGCGGCAAGCTCGATTAATTCGGTTTGCTAGAGTGTGGTAATAACCACGTTTCAGCAGACTCCAGCATCTCATGTATCAGCGTCCCTGCAGTGAAAAATGGTGGCGGCAGAGCTTGAACTAAAGCCCACTTGACTTTATTTAAAGCAACCCTGCTGCGATTTCTAAGCCCAGGGACACTGATGCATGAGACGCTCCAGGCACTTTAATTAAAGCGCCCCCCCGACTCCCAGAGCATATATGATCAGGTTCA